GTTTGAAAAGAATTTTTAGAGGCTTTTGCTCACTTTCTACAACCATGCATTTACAAATTATGGAATAGAAGAGAATGTTGATGTAAATGAGTAGGTGAACTATAAGGCGGTGGAGAATTAAAATGTGGAACCAGTCTTAGAGGAATATAGTTATTTTATTTTTGTTTAGAGATTGAGAGATTTCGATGAAACAATGTTTCAACTAATTCTATTTATTCTACTTCTAAATACTATTTGAGTTTTGAATTGTAAGTTTGAAGAAGTTTAATGTTTTCCTGTCTTTAAATGGTTGTTATTTAATGAATGAATGAATGGTTTATCATTTAGAAGGTTATTTTCAGTTGCTCTCATGGTTGAATAGTTTGTAGATAGTAATATCTTTTATGGTGAATTTTAAGGCATTACAATATAATGTCGCTAGGGTGAATAAATATTTGATTCCATTGTATGTGTAAGTATTATAGTAATTGTATATATTAATATTTTGTTGACACACGTAATAACTTATATTAGTTATAACTAAAAAGTGACGTTTAAAGCCTAGCTACTAAGTTCGAGCGAGTAGTCAGCACAAATTTAAAAATTTTATATGAAAAAAAAACATGTTTAAATTAGGAGAAACAAAAGTTCTATAGAGGTGGACATTAGAGGTCATCCATAGGAAGAGGCAGACAAATTCAACATGTTCCCAAATCTTCGGCCCAAAGTTTCTTCTCATTTCCTGCCGTCACCTCCACCAACAAATAAGAAGTCAAAAAAATAATAAATGATGAGATTTAACCTGATCACGTATGAAGTCAAAGTTGCCCTGTAGATATATAGACCTTTGGGGGGTGAGAACAGGTTTGTACTGGATTGATGATTTAAAAAAATATATATTTTTTTAATTTAAATTTCATTTATTATTAGACTGATTAAGATTTAATGGTTATATCTTACTATTTTTCGTGTTTGGATAATACATAATCATTTTTGTGAGACCCACATAAAAGGGTGATGGAATATGATACCATTGACTGTTTTTATCTCTAACCTATTCAATCCAAAACCATGATTGATTTATAAATTAGTCTTTGATCAATTTGAAATAAATTTTTCTTACATGTAATTTTTAAAATTAGTATAATTTCATATTCTCTAAACGAATATTCATATATTACGAGGACTATTGAGAATTAATTCAAACTTTTATTAATTAGTTATTTTATTATTAGTTGTTAATTATTCTTAGTTCAAATAAAATATTGCTTTGTTATTGTTAGTTTATTATTTAAATTAATTGTCTTATTGTAGAAGATGTCTTGGTCTTCTTGAGGTATACCGGCGGAGCTTTGTTTTGACAAAACAAATTTGTTACAAAAAAATTAGATCTATGAAAAACAAAAAGAGAAGACAAAGCAAACGAGAAAAAGAGAGAGAAGGATAAGAGAACACGCCAATTGAGTCATTTGTATTAGTTACCGAGTTTGACAAAAAAAATTCCTGCACCCCTTGGGTTTCATTTAACCCATGTACATAACTTAAAGTTTACTTTTCAAATCGGGTTAGAATAAAATTCAAATGAGATTTTCAATTTATTTTTTACTTAACAAATGTGGGATATATGTGTCCCACATATTTTTTTATCCTATTCTACTAGAGTTATCCCACTTTAATCTGCGATCCAAATATATCTTTGGATTAGTAGTGGGTGCAATGAACGTGGGATTGAAATAGCACATAGAACATGAGTTCAAGGTGTTTCAGAATATTTTAAAGTGTTTTTGAGATATTTTGGATATGTCGATCAATATTTTGGTATATTTTAACTAATATTTCGAAAACAAACTTTTAATTTTTTTCTTCATTCTCATTTTATTTTTGAAATGTTCCCAATATATTTCTATAATGCTTCTATTTTTATGTAATTAAAATAATACACTGAAACGAAATTTTAATTCTTAGCCATATATTTTTCTTAACAAATCATTTCTCACAAATTTGAGTTTGATCATTATAAATAAATGAGTCATTTATAAATAGAGTTTGGATCCTCTACTATACAACAACGGTGTTGTTTTTCGAAATGATGTTCTTTCACATTAAAGCAATGTTATTCTATTTAATAAAATAATATCATTTTAAAGAAAAATACCCCAATTGTTAAAAAACTAATAGTAAAAAAATTCGAATCCTTTATAAATGATAAATGATTTACTAAAAAAATCATATTGAAGGGATTTAGATGCTATTAGACTTATTGATATTATTAAATTTATGGTCTTATTGTTGCACATTTTAGATCTCAAGAACTCCCAATTAAAAAAAAAAAAATTTAATTTAAATAATTGACTTTTAGTTAAAAAATTAAACTCCCACCGCCTAACTCGAGTGGAATGAAGATCTATGGTGAAGTATTTTTATAAATCCTTCGTGGCTGCAACGAAACCTCATATAGGCTCTCTCTCTCCTCTCCTCTCCAATCAACCATGGCTGAGCAACCGTCCACAGCAGAGACATCCGTCGATTCCGTGCCGCCCGTTGAACTTTATCCAAACCCAGATGGCTCATTCACTCGAATCGAACCATTTCCAAAGCTTCCTGCAACGCCGGAAGACACCACCGGTGACGATTCAAAGTCAACCCAAATCGCTCTCTCCAAAGACATCCCTCTGAACCCAACAACCAACACCTCCATTCGCATCTTCAAACCTTGCAATCTTCCTCCAAACTCGAAGCTCCCCATCATTATCTACTTCCATGGAGGTGGGTTCATAATCTTCAGTGTCAGTACTAAACCCTTTCACGAATCATGCAACGCCATGGCAGCTCAGTTCCCAGCTCTGATCGTCTCCGTCGAGTACCGTCTTGCGCCGGAACACCATCTTCCGGCGGCGTACGATGACGCCGTCGAAGCTATCACGTGGGTCCGAGACCAGGCATTGGGAATCAACGGTTGCGATCCGTGGCTGAAAGATTTGGCCGATTTTTCTAGGGTTTTCTTGATGGGTAGTAGCGCAGGATCTAATATAGTCTACTACGCAGCTCTGCGTGTGCTCGATATTGATCTTACGCCGGTGAAAATCAAAGGGTTGATTATGAACCAACCGTTCTTTGGTGGGGTGAAGAGGACTGAATCGGAGACAAGACTTTCCGATGATAAGATCATACCTCTCTCTCTGAATGATCTGATGTGGTCCTTATCGTTGCCGGAGAATTCTGATCGTGATCATGAGTATTGTAACCCATCAATCGCCGGCGAGTCTCAGAGGGAGAAGGTCGGAAAATTATGCCGGAGCTTGGTCAAAGGTTATGGTGGGGACCCACTTCTTGATAGACAGAGAGAGTTCGTGAAGTTGTTGGAGTCATCTGGTGTGCACGTGGTGACCCGGTTTGATGATGGAGGCCACCATGGTGTAGAGGTCTTTAATCCCAAAAAGGCCCAAGATTTGCATGATGAAGTGAAGCAATTCATTGAATCAACTTAAAGAGTAATGTTGTTGATGCAATTACTAGTATGGGTAAGAATAATATTATTGTCATACTAAGATCAATATCGACCTCCATGATGGATAATTCAAGTAAAGAGTGATTTGTTTCCTCAAAATAGTCAAATTTAGTTTAGACCCATAAAGATGAATTGATGACAATGATATTGTTGTACCATGTAGTCGATTCATGTTTTAGTGGGTTGTAACTATATTTGATATTTTTGGAGAAAAGGAATCGGTTTTTAATCGGATGGTCGGTCTTTATCTTAGTCACTGTCAATGCGAATTATTTTATGATGTATCATTTTCTTGTTACTAGGGAAGACTTTTCCATTCTTCCATTAGCCTTCTGGATCTATGTAGTTATTATAAGTATGGTACAAGTCATCCTTTGGAAAATATCATTTGCCAAGTGTGTTGGAGCTTCCACACACTCATAATGTAAGGTGATACCATTGGTTTGTTTTCTTTATGATGTCAATTCAAGTATTAAGTTGTGTTTGTTTCTGGGGAAACTCTGTTTTCATTGATGATTTATTTTCTTAGTAGGTAGTTTCCCATTTTTGTATGCTATGCCCTCCTTATTGATGTACTGTGCTTTATAGTTCCTATATAGTGAACCATGGGGGAAGAAAAAAAGGCAATGTGTATGGCTTGAAGAACACTGTAATTAATTTTGCTAAAATCGCTAAAATCTTTATGATTTTGAATACGNCAGGGAGGGGTTCAAAACAACAATCTGGTCGGACACTATTACAAGAAAAGGAGACGACAAAATTTGAGCCCATATCTTAAAGTTTAACAGCGAGGACGGTGAGCATTAAGGTAATCGGTAACTTTTATTGATATATGTGTTAANTACAAGAAAAGGAGACGACAAAATTTGAACCCATATCTTAAAGTTTAACAGCGAGGACGGTGAGCATTAAGGTAATCGGTAACTTTTATTGATATATGTGTTAATAAAATAATTTTAGGTACACAAATTTTTCTAAGAACTAGGCCTAACCCCAAACTCTAGCCTTTAGGCCCATGATAGAGTCTAGCCCTCGAATTTTTTTGGGTCCTTTAGAAGTCGGTACACTAAATTAGATATAATTGTAAAAAATTATACAGAATAAAATGTTTTGAAAAAAAAATATACAGCTGAGATACAATGACATAAATGCCCTTTTTCTTTCAAAATTTCTTTCATAAAAACTGTAATAAGACATTTATCTTAATCGCAGAAATTTAGGGACATTTAATTTGAAATTTCTAATGCACCTTCATTCAAACATATTTTCTTTTTTGAAAGTTGTTTTGTTTTCAAATTATTATATTTATGCATTAAATATCTCATAATTTTATGGGAGAACTTTAATATTCCGTTTATTTTAAGATTTATCACTTTATTTGAATTTCAAAATTTGTTAATTATTTTTTATATGATTTGAAATATAAAATTATTTACACCGTAACAAAAACGTAACAAATTCATTAAGCAATAGTGTAACGAAAACAGTATAATAATATACTGTAACAATACACTGTAACAAAAACAATGTTTAGTGATTTTGTGTACGTGGTAACAAATTCAAGACAAATATGGACTGTTTTGAATGAAATTATATGAAAATATATGTTTGAAAAAATGTAATAGTACAATATTTTGTATAAATGTCTTATTACACTGTTTTGTAGTTTGAATATTAATATAATTTGAAAACAGAATCACTTTCTAAAAAAAAAATACATGAAATAAGGGAGGATATAAAAATATAGAAATTTCAAATAATGTACTTAAAAACAAATAAATATAAAAATTAAGAATTTTTTTACCTTATATTTTTTTATGTGTAATTTTTTTTACAATTAACTCTAATTTGATATACCCCTTCTAATTTTCCCAATTGTTTTTCAAAAGTCTGCCGGGAAATTGTTGGGCCCTAAAGCTGAATACCTTCCAAACTAAGTTGGTAATTTAGGGCCCGTCCAGGCCCATGCAGTCCACTAATTTTATCAACATAAAATATAGGAATTACAGCCTTTACATGGCTAGCCTCAAACTATATATGCGCTTTCCAATACTAATATGATAATAATTATATTTTAATTTAATTAATTAACATAATTAACGGATTGAACTTGGACCCGCTTTTAATCTAACGATGATTGATGTTTGACGTCTGCAAAGTGAATATAATCTGAATTTTAAATAAATAAAATTTAAAATTTAAAAAATCACTATATAAATTCTTACTCTTTGTAAAGTCGAGTTTAAAATAATTAAGATAAGATTGAATTGAATTGATTTAATTGAATACTTCCCATCAATAATTGTGCTGAGTAAAATAAAAAAAAAAAAAAATCTTGAATCATTTTGTTGAATATTTTTCAGGCTAAAAAATAAGAATTATAATATTATTTTTAATGATTATAAATTAGTGGCATTTTGCCTCAATATTTAATAAAATATTTTGTTTAAGAAACTTATATNTATGGCCTATACAAGTTACTATTTTATCTTCTTAGTGGCATTTTGCCTCAATATTTAATAAAATATTTTGTTTAAGAAACTTATATACCAAATTTTTTATTCGAAATAATATAATAAATTTATTTTAATTTTTTTAAATATTATTTTAATTTAAGGGTGATAAATATGTCACATGGAATGAGGAATTCAATAATTGTACTTTTTCAACCTTTTCCGATGTCAGATGATATGGCCAGTAAAGAAATTTAGCAAGTATTTACACTCTTGACCCCTCTGTGATTTGTCACTATATCATATACACCATCTAAAGTATGAAATATATCATTCTTCCCTCAGACTTGGTTTATTGTTTTATGCACAAAATCTCTAAATTACACGCATGACTACCAAAATCTAACATATTTTTCCTCCTGAATCAAAATCATGCAAAATGATAATTTTTTTTTCCAATATCTCATTCTCGAGTGCNTCCTGAATCAAAATCATGCAAAATGATAATTTTTTTTTCCAATATCTCATTCTCGAGTGCACACGACAACACAAACACCACCCACCCATTAGGACTCAAAATCACCACTGTTCCTCGAGTACCCCTAGGCCTTNGCACACGACAACACAAACACCACCCACCCATTAGGACTCAAAATCACCACTGTTCCTTGAGTACCCCTACGTCTANTCAAAATCATGCAAAATGATAATTTTTTTTTCCAATATCTCATTCTCGAGTGCACACGACAACACAAACACCACCCACCCATTAGGACTCAAAATCACCACTGTTCCTCGAGTACCCCTAGGCCTTTTTTTCTTTGAGCATCACAGTCGTCCTATGACTAAAGAAAAATTATTTGGAATAGCCAAAGGAGATGTTCTTTCTATTATATGAATTTTTGCTCATAATTCTTATATTTAAAGAGATACGAGACATACTAAATACCGGTGGATTGTACAAGTATGAATGACTCTGTTATGTTGCATATTTAAGTGGGTCTTTACGAGACAAAGATAAATCTTAGGGGGGGTTATGTATAATTAACCAAAAAGGCCAAGCAGATGAGAATGAGATGACGCAGGAAAAGGTTACAACTTTGATTCCTGCGATGTGTCATCGTCGGATCAAATTCTCACCTTTCTTCACTTTTCTCTCTCTCTCTCTCTCTCTGAAGTAGTGTGTACGTGAATACATACTTACTACTATCTCTAATTGCTTCAACAAGTCTTGCAATCTGATATTCCTAACCTCTCTTCCACTACAATGGCGAGCGGTGGAGGCGGCGCTCCACCGTCGCCGTCTCCGCCGTTGAACGGCGGAGAATTCCTACTCCAATTGCTCCAAAAACCACCGCAAATACAACCCCAACAACCACAACCACAACCACCAACACCGCCACCGACCCAGACCCTCCCTCATGATCCTGCAGTTGCAGTCGTGGGACCGACTTTTGCCTTCCCTCCGTTCCCGTCCAACGGTCACGATCTACCTTATCGTTCTCCTCCTCCGCCTCATACTTGGACTCCCCACCAATCTCCTCCTCAATTCGCTCCACACAATTTCTTCATGAATGGGTTTCCCCAAAACCCTAACCCTAGCCCGAGTTGGTCATCCCCACTATTACCAGCACCCCCGCCCGAGTTCAATCACCACAATCACCAGTACAACTTATTGGGTGACGATATTCGTAAGCTCGGGTTTTTGGGTACAAATTCCAAACCAATCTCAGCTCATCAACAAGAACACAACATCGTTTTTGGTTCTTTTCATCGTGAAATACGAAAAGATGAAGGCTTTCGAGGCAAAGACGATGTATCGAATGACAATTTGTATGGTAATTTAGCTCATGGAGGGAAAATTGAGGGTTTGGCGTCGAAAGAGAGAACAACGGGTTTAGGGAGTAATAGAAGATTGGATGGTGTGGAGGTTGAATTTCAAAAATCTCCTGATTTTAATCGGAACCCCCCAGGGAGAAATCATAAGCAAGGAAGTAGGGGTGGTGGTGGTGATGGTGGGCGGGGGAAACAAGGCCCTAGTGGGAATTATATATCACCTGAAGTGAGGAAGCCGCCACCAGGGTTTCCTAGCAAGCCGAGGAGTGCAGGGAATCGAGAATCTGGAAATAGGAGTTTTGAACATAATGCGGATAAGGGTAAGAGTAAGATTGGTATGTTGAACCATAGAGGTATCGATACTCTTTCACTTGATGAGAATGAGAGGGAGGGAAGATTTTTGCCCAATCATAGTAAAGTGAACGGTGATGTATCAGCTGAAAGGAGGCAAAGTGTTCAGCTTGATTGCTCTGGCCAGTCTGCAGGAAGTAATCATCATTCCGTTTCAGTTGTGAAAGGGTCTCTTCTCGAATTGCACCATGAGGTCAATGAAGATGAGGAAGAGTCTGGCTATGGGATGCAGGAGAAGATGAGGAGGGGTGGTGGTCGTGGTCAAAGTGAATTGGATGATTTGGACGAAGAGCTAATGGGTTCTTTAGCACTCGAGAATGGATCGGATGAGAAAAATGATAAAAGGCAACATCATAGATCTCGGGATAAGGTAAATGTTTTAGCCATACATGCATTGCAATTTTTACTAGGTTTCCCTGAAGAGGCTTTAATCTGCATATCTTTGTGGTAACATAAAGATTGAGCAGTATATGGTGCCCTATTACACAAAATCCTGGAGGGTAAGCCTAATGGACACTCTTATGAAATCTACCTGGTATATGTATACCTAGGAAACTCTAGCCCTCTATTGGTTTTTCAGTTGTATGAATCATTGAGCTTGCCAAAAAAAAAAATTGGAGAAACCATTGATACTTTTACAAGTGGAATGAGGAGGTTCCATACTCTATATTTTATGGTCAAGCAGTGTACAGCAATACAAGTATAGTGATCTAGCTCTGTTTTAGAAGATGAAAATTTGTTCCCCTCATACGGATATGCATGTATGCGGGAATCAGTTTGTGTAGGTTTTAAAATTTGACTTTGCCAAAGAATTAAGAGCTTCTAAAAATGCTTTGGAAACGCCATTTGCTGAAAACAATGAAAAGAAAAGGAATTCCTTTAGGGAAACTCCCAACCCTTAGGCAACCCCCAAAAAAGATAAGGAAAGGGAAAAAAAAAAAGGGCTCTTACTGTTTGTCTGCCTTTAGAAATTTATAGTTTTATGAGATCTGGGGAGTGGACATTGTGAAATCAATATAATTGGTTGAAATATCCTTGCAAGTTTGTTGCTTAACAAGCCTGTGCCCTTGTACATGGTGTCCATAGATATAGAATGCGTATCAAAATGGTTATCAGCACCAAATACCAATAGAAATGGTATGTGATTATTAGATACTACATTTGCATTTTTGCCAACCTATTGTAACCATCTAGACCCTGTCCAATTAAGTGTTATAGCAGAAATGTATCATTAGTATTGTTAGAAACTAGCAGCCCCTTGTAAACATGAAATATGATGATAAGAAAAGGGGGATGTCTTAGTGTTTTTTTACCCCCTTTGGTGCTCTCTCAACCTGTTTATATTCCGATCACCCGATGGTTTGATTTTTTAAAATATGTCCTAAATGATACAATGTTTTGTCATACATCTACCCATCTGTTCATGTCACAATATATATTTTTGTCCCAGTTGTTTAATCCTTGTTTCGTGTTGTAGTTTGAGTAACGAAAATAGCCTCCCTGCATGCAAGGTTAAGGTCCTAGGGTATGTTTTTGTGTTGTAATCCGATTTACGAAAACAATCTCCTTGGATGCAGGGGCATGGTTGTGTACATATAAACTTTCTCAAAATTCTACAATGATGGGAGTCTTGTGCTCTAGACTGTCCTTTTCAGGGGACTGAACAACTATTATTATGTTTTAGATGGCATTGGAGGTACACATTATAGGTCTTGAGTGAGATCAATGGAGGACACTGGGGTTCTTACTACAACCAGTTATTAAATGTTTATTAACTGCCGAGATCTCAACATTTTTGCTTTAATTATCATGGATAATGACTGCCATATATTTGAATATGATTTATTTATAGAGAAAATTGTTTAAAATGCACAATGGACCTCATCAATTTCCCTACGACATTCAGGATGAGATTTCAATGTGTGTGCTCTTCTCTTATAATATAGTTTTTATTAATGAAACTTATTTTTACATAACTGATAACCTTATTTACAAAGGTATTTGGGGAATAATCTTCCCGTGAGTGGAAATTCACTTGTTTCACTTGGTCTTGCTTTTATTATGAACAAAATGAATTAAGAGAAATTAATATATTTGTTTTTTAAATTCAACAATATATGGATGGTTTGAGGTGCATGGGAAAAAGCTTTAATATCGGGAGTTCTCTGCTGCAGTCAGTATCCAGGTACTACAAAATATAACGGATCTTTGTCGCTTCCTAGGCTACCACTCCAGTCCAGCAATGGGCAATGTGTTTTCTTCAATACGGAAACTCATTTAAAGGAATAATTAGAGTTAAAAAAAAAAAAGAGTAACATCTGGTTCATAAATTTTGGATGGAGTACATGCAGGTATAAACAGTTTGAGGTGCTTAGCCCCAAGTTGCTGTTCCTCCAAATAGAGATTCCTCTCCAGAGCGTTTGTGTGGTGATTTAGAAATCCATTACGGGAGCTACTTGAAAATATTTTTGAATAAAATTTGATTAGGATAATGATATTTCTCTTTGAAAGTGTGTGTGTGCATGCAGCTTTGCCGAAATGCAGGTGTATATTGCACTGGTGGGAATATTTCTTTCTTGGAAACTCACGTGTGATTTGTGATCAGGATTATAGATCTGATAAAAGAGGACAATGGCTACTTAGCCAAAGGATGAGGAACTTCAAAAGACAGACTGAATACCGTGCTGACATACATAGGCTAAATGGTCCTTTCCTTGCAATTTATGAGTCGTTAATTCCAGCAGAGGAAGAAAAGACAAAGCAAAAGCAATTGTTGACATCATTGGAGAAACTTGTCAACAAAGAATGGCCTGGAGCTCGATTATATCTTTATGGATCATGCGCCAACTCATTTGGGTTCTCAAAAAGTGACATTGATGTTTGCCTGACAATCGAGGATGCAGATGTTAACAAGTCTGACATCTTGTTGAAGTTGGCTGATGCATTGCAGTCAGATAATCTTCAGAACGTGCAGGCATGCACTCTTTCTTTCTGTCTTTTCTGCTATATTTGTCTTTAGAATTATCAACCCCCCCCCACCTTCTTTTTTTTTGACGCATGGATTCTATTAGAATAGAAACACAAGGGTAGTCATGTGCACATATGAGAGACTTCTTGGGAAGATTTATGGGATAAAATCATTTTCATGGCTTCTCTTTGGGTTACCGCGACAAAGGATTTTGAAGGAGTACCTTTATTTTTGATTAAGGATCATTGGCCTGAAGTGTTTTCCAATAGTTGAGGCTTGGGTTTTTGTTATTGTGTCTCTTTGTCTAGGCTTATAGTTTTGCTTTTAATCTCTATTTTATTTTATGTATCTTTTTTGTATGTAACTTTTATCAAGAGGACTCCTTGTCATCTCATGTACTTTTTTATGACTTTTTTGTGTATTAATAGATTTTCATGTTTCCTATAAAAATAAATAAATAAATAAATAAATAAACAAGCCTATACATAAGCAGACTTGTCTCGTGTTGACTAAGTTTCCAGCACCTGATTTGTTGTAGGGAAAATAGTGTTGTTTTTTGCTTCCAAAGTGATTTTGTTGATTTTACTTCTACCTATTCCTTAGAACAAAGGAGTACGTTCTCGTGTTATTTGTGCAAGTGCTTGCCTTATCATCTTCGGATAAATGTTTACAAACTTTAGAATTAATTTGTCTTACCAGAGGAGAGCGTGTTTTTCCAATTGCGTATCGAAGATCCTAATGGATTTTGGTGGCAATAATTAGAGAATCTTAATTCTTAAGTGTCCAAAAGCCGTGCATCTTGAGTAATTGATGTGTTGCAATCAAATTAGTGTATATTCTCCTTAAAGAAGTATTATATTATTTATTTCTAGTCATACTCTTATTGTTTTCTTACAAAGAGGAATTAACAAAAAGAAAAAAGTTGGACTTATTTTCTGAATAACGAAATTGGTGTCTGGGGACAGAATCGTTCCAGTCCCATGTTTTGGATAATTTGGTTATCTATTTGTTAATTTAAGGCGAACATGACATTCTGTAATCAATAATAAGATGTACAACCATGTGTGTTTGAAACTTACTGCGGGTATATAATACGAATTACATTCGATCATGTGCTTATTTGTTTGTGAAGAATATAATGCCTACTCCTCCCTTCTCTTACTTCTTTAATGTTCATCCTGTTTCCTCTGTTTTTTGTAGCGGACAATTAATTTTTTGGTTGAGTGTAGATGCCCATAATCATTTTTCTTTCAAATTAACTCTTCTATCATCCCTAAGAGAACCTAACTTGCTGTCTTGGATCTAGTAGACATGGCAATATGTATTCATTTCTAAATGGTAATTACAAGTGCGTTGGCTGGAAAACAATAGAACTATTTAAGCACTGATCCTATGATTCCATATTCGATAGATAACGACCTTCCTTGACTCTATACATAGTAGACTGTCGAAGGGCACAGTGCCCTGAGAGTACTATCACTCATTTTGGAGTTGTTGCCTGTTGGCAATGAGCAGAAGCCTGGTATGAGTTCTTTGCACAGGTTCCTATATATGAATGCTTCCTGCAGATTTATCTAATTGGGATCTGGATGTGATTTGGTAATCATTATGGAAAAGACGAGTTCATGATATGAGGACATGTGTTTTCTTATCGAGAAAGGACAATCTGGATTTATGTTTTGTTTAAGGATTATTGTACACTGACATTTGCTGGTCTACAAGAGCAACTTTAACTTTTGATATCAAGAAAATCAGTCCTTAAGGGGAGAAGGGGTTCAACATGGGGAATAGATGTTTCAACATGGGGAATAGATGTGTTTTAGTTGTTGTTATCCTCAAAGACTGTATACTTTGGCCATTTGAGTGGATTGGTACTGATGGCCAAATATTATCTCTTTTCCTCCTTGTTTTCAGTAATGTGTTTGGAGCTTTTGGCTATGGTCTCATTTTGGTGCTATGTGCTTTTACTTGTCTCTAACAAGGTGGTGATGAATTATCTATTGAGTCAGAGCCTATCGTCTGCCGGAAGTAGAATGAGAGGAGTCCTACTAAGATGTGAGTGTGAGCATGTCTGCGAGAGACAGAATATTGTTGTTGACAGGGCAATAATTTTGAGGGAAACAGATCAATACAGAGTCTCTAGGAGGGCAAACCATGTACACAGAAAAACAGAAGCAAAATCAAAGACTAGGTACAATGAGAGCCAAAACCTGAAAAAAGCCATATTAAATCACCACAAATGCCTTAGATTGCTTCACGGGTGAGATCTGAAGGCAATTGAGAGAGCTTTGGAGTGAGTTCATTAGATTATATTGCATCACGCGTGACTCTACTTTGAACTTTAGAGTTCCATATCTGTTAGACTTACACAGTTATTGAGTACATGCTAAGTGGCTGGCAGTTAGATAGGTGCTTTTAATTCAAGCTGCAATCCTTCAACTATGCACTCATAACCTTTTAGGGTACTGTTTTGTCTCTTTTTCACCCTTTCTCTTTTTTTTTTTCCCCGATCAAATGTCTTTTTTGAAGTGAAGTTTGCTTCTGTCCCACAGCTGAGTATCATGGTAGTTCACTAGGTTATGATTGTTGAAATCTGGCATCTGCAATAGTTGAACTTGATTTTCGGCTGTTGGTTAACTTTGGAAAATAGCAAGAAAGAGGAGTTGCCTAAAGGAGGGAAAGACAGATTAAATATCAGTGGTTTTGAATGTTATAGTTCAGTAGTTTATCATTAAGTTCAACATAGATGACAAAGTGATTCTCTTAACTTTGTGGAATATTAGGTTCAACAAAGGAACATAGAGATATACGGGCTCCAATTTTGGGTCAGGCAGACACTAATTCTGTTGTACTGGGGTGTAGTGAATTGAGCCTGCTCTCTGTCTGCTTGGGGATTTTCACAATTGACCATTGGACAGAAAATTTGCAAGTTGCCTGAGTTTTAAGGTTTAACTAGTTTTTCATCTATGATTCTGCTCATTGTGTTGTAAATGTTATGCTAGGACTTATCTTCTTAGTTTTCAACAGAGACCATTCTCTCAGCATCTGTTTCCATGATCTTGTTACATCTTCATATTGTAAACAAACTATTAGAAATCTCAATGCAAATTTCACTGTAGTTTCATAAGTTTACTTTTCTCTACAGGCTCTGACACATGCTAGGGTTCCCATAGTGAAGCTGATGGATCCAGTCACTGGAATTTCCTGTGACATATGTGTAAACAACGTTTTGGCTGTTGTAAACACAAAGCTGCTTCGAGATTATGCACAGATAGATGTGAGACTGCGGCAGTTGGCTTTTATTGTGAAACACTGGGCTAAGTCGAGGGGAGTTAATGAAACTTACCAAGGGACACTATCTAGCTATGCGTGAGTTAGCTCAAGAAATCCATTGATTTATATGGTCCCTACTTTTTTTTTTGGTTTTTGTGGACTAATTATTTTGATTGTTTTTTCAGGTATGTCTTGATGTGCATTCATTTCCTTCAGTTGCGTAGACCTGCCATCCTGCCATGCTTGCAGGTGTGTTATGGCATTTTTTTATGCACATTAAATATGCATATATCAGGAAGTAATTACCAAATTAACGCCCTTTTTAAACCATGGTTTCTAATTTATTACTGAATTTATCGNGTAATTACCAAATTAACGCCCTTTTTAAACCATGGTTTCTAATTTATTACTGAATTTATCGTTGTTCATGTGAAACTGTGGTTTAAACTCACACTTTTAAATGAAAATCTTGAAACATGTTTTGCATATGCGCATTTATATGAAAGCGTGGGCTACCCACATTTTTCAGTAGACGTAGTGATGAACTGAGAATATGTTAGAAACCAGAGAAAGTGGTAATAAAGGTGAAAATGGACGATAAGTTGGTCAAAAATTAGATTTATTAGCGAGTCTTTTAACTGCATTGGATGTGGGTTACTGCTTCATGTGATAATGTCTGCTTGTATGCAATGAAAAATGCATTCATTTCCTTTTTTTGCAAGGATATAAATTCTTTCTTTTTCAACTGTGTATATGGATGTCTTAGGATGATGGCATTGTTCCACTTGTATTCCTGGGTAGTCTAGGATATAAATTTCCCTTTGGATGGACTATCTAATAAAGTGGAACTGAAACCATATAAGAAAATTCAAACTCTCGTGTAGTTGTTGAAATCTTATAAGGCCCATTATNATTCTAGGATATAAATTTCCCTTTGGATGAACTATCTAATAAAGTGGAACTGAAACCATATAAGAAAATTCAAACTCACGTGTAGTTGTTGAAATCTTATAAGGCCCATTATTTGAATTGGAATTCAACCTGAGAAGTATGAATTTTTTGGAGTGACAAAGGATTGATTTTTTGTTTCACAAGTTTTCTTGAGAATTTTTTGAAGACATCCTATGTGATTCAGGAATTACCATTTCCAATCTATATTGCCTTGTTAATGAATAATTTTTCTAAACAAAATGAATTTTTTATTTGAATGCCATAAAATAACCAAAGAATTTTTTTTTGAGGGAGGGATAGGGGGACTTGAATTCTTGATCTCAAGAAGGTTAAGCCTTCAAAAGGTAAGGAGTACCATTAGATCAAGTCCAAAGAATGAATTCACACACTAAGACTAACTTTATAATTCACACACTAAGACTTACTTTATATAAAGCTAACCAAACTACCAGGCAGCATCTTTGGAAGTTCAAGTACATCCATACAACAAATTGTAATTTTTGATAGTTTTCATTCTATAGATTTTGAACTCATGACAATTCTTAGCAAATGAACATACTCTACAATTTTCGGCATGTAAAGTACATGCTCTCAACTACTATCTAGAAAAAGCAAGCTGTTTCGGATGTTGTGTAATGGGACATCTAAGCATGCCTTGTATGTTCTTCCCTGACTTCAATTGTAATGTATGGTCAAAGGTTCAAAGTATTGACTGATACCCGATACGAGGTTGCCGAGATGTTTCCGAACCGGCGCCTGTTGAGTCAATATCATTACATTTACGTATAAACCTTGAATCTCGCACGGCTTGACCGAGTTGTCCAAGTCAATTCCGACTCGCCGAGTTATCGTCACCAAATTGGCTAATACCGTTCTGCGATGTCGCGATATGGTTGGAATCTCTCGTCATGTTCAACTTCTTCTTTTAGGTTGTATCGCCCAATGTAGCGCCGCGACTGATGTGTGTCAGATCTCTCCGATTCGATGACCGATATCGCGACCTTGTCATATGCTTATGATGAAATGCCTCACTAAATGATGTTGCAGTTGCTAAATGATCTGTTTGCTTCAGCTATTTTTATTTGTTTTGTATATGCAAATTGAAGACAACAATTCAAAAATTTGAGATTGACGAAAGGCAAATTTTTTTGGCTGTTGGAAGAAGGTAGTTTATTAGTGATATTCTAGCACCTTTCTTAGCCAGACACAAAGGTGTACAATGCCATCAAAATCTTCAGTTCTTTAAATTCATCCACTGAAGGTTCTGTTACATGCACTATTGGTTTGCAAAGTCCAACCAAGAAAGGAGAACTAATGGCTCTAGAATTGACCAGTTCCTTAGCAGGCTGCAAGGCTGTAGTTTGGATTATAGTAGAATAGGCAGAGCCATCTTAGGAAATGACTTAATTTAAAAGAGAGACACTGCCGCAGCGAGGCTGTTGTCCAAAATTTTGTTTCACTGTATGCAGTGGTGGACCCTTGCAAGTTGCATCATCATCTATTGTGGAGTCACCAGATTGCAGTTTATGCTCAAATAAAAATTTTCAATGATTTATTTTAAAAAATTGTAAGCTTTTCCTGGGATTTTTTTTAGTTATGCTAGTAGACCATGGAATGGAGGGAACATGTATGATATACCTATTCTGGAATTCTTTTTGCCGTGCTATATTAACTTCTTTTGGGTTGTATGTTTTGATGACATCGTTTGATATATTATTTGTAAAATGACATCGACATTTGGAACCTGATGTTATTGTTGCATCCTAGGTTTTGCGCATGATACTCTATTTTATTCTTTAGGGGATGAAGACAATATTTGAATGTTAAAGAAATTATATAGGTTTTTGGTGTAATTTTTAGGCTAAGGTTAATTTGGGAAAAAAATTGATATTGGTAATTGGCTTTGAGTTTGAGGTGTACTATGGGTGGGTGGTGTCTCAAGTATTTAGGTCTTCCATTAAGTGGCAACCCATTTGTAAACGGCATTTTTGGGATCTTGCTGTTCATAAAGTTGGAGAAAGATAAAATGGATAAAAGGGAACCTTTATTTCGAAAGGGGGAAGACTTATTTTAATCTAGTCTGCTTTAGTTAGTATTCCCATTTATTTCATGTCTCTCTTTAAATTACCTAGCTTGATGACTAGTAAGATTGCAGGGATGATGTGGATTAGTTAGGGATGGAAAAATCATTTGATTAGATGGGAGGTGGTCTTTTGGCCTAAAGCAAAAGATGGCCTTTTGGTGGGCAACTTGATAGCTAGGAATGAAGCTTTGGAGAATTCCTTTGCAGCGAAATTCACTTTGCCATCTAGTGATAAAAACAAATGTTTTACAGACTAATGGGTGGAATGCTAATGGTGTTGAAAGGCGAAGTTTTCAAAGCCCACGAAAATTCATTTCTCAAGGACTATCTTCCTTTTATAAGTATGTGAACTTTGTCACGGGATACCGGTTGAAAATTCATTTTTGGGAGGATAAATGGATTGGGGTGTCGTCGCTATCATATTTGTTTCCGCGTTTATTGATTTTCTTTATATCACGATGCCCTTATTGCATGCATGTTTCACCCCAATCATGATTCATTTTCTTGGTATTTTGGGTTTCGTAAGAGTTTCAATGACTGGGAAACTTCGGAATTGCTATCACCTCTTTCTATGTTTGACATAATTAATTTGAATCAGGATTCTGTTAATAAAAGATGGTGGACCTTAGATTCTTCGGTCTCTTCCTCTTGTAGATCTTTTTCTCCATCCTTCTCTGATAAGCCTTCACTCCTAGTCTTTTAACTATCGTTGAAGCTATGGAAGGCTAAAGTGCCTTTAAATGTGCAAGTCAGTGTGTTAGCTTGTCTTTCATGGACATATTAACATCAACGATATACTTTAAAGGAGAAGATCTCATGCTTGTCTTTTCCTCACTGATATATTATTGCGCCAAGGAGACAGTGAGAGTGTGAATCTTTTGTTCTTAAATTGTCCAATTGTATCAACAAGATATGACATCTATATTAGTGTCGACTTTTAATGATTTTGGAGGAGATCGAAAGGGTACTAATCTTTGGGATTGTGCATTGTTAGCTTTTGTATGGGATATTTGGTTGGAGATGAATTCAAGAATCTTCGATGATAAATCTGAAGTGGTGGAAGGGATATGGGAGACCTTATTTGTTTTCTATCATCGTTTTAGGCAGCGGTAATCAACGATTTTGAGGATCTTCCCAATTTTGGCTTTATAGCTAGTTGGAGGTTGTCGTGTTGTTACATTGTGAGCTATTCATAATGCCTACTTTCTAATGCTTGTTTACGTTTGGATATGGGTTGGATCATGGATGATTTGTCCACCCGTTTCTTTTGGATTGTGGACCAGTATCATTAGTATTAAATATTTCGTTTTTATCAGGAAAAAAAAAATGAACATATGGACACAACCATTGAAGGGACCAAACAATCATTTCAATTTTAGTTCAAAGTGCTTTACCTTTTTGGCGTTGGGAACTTAGTTGCATTAGCCCTGGATGAAGCCTAATGAGCTCTTCTTTTGAATGGAATGTGAGTCAACTCTTAGATGTGTCCTGCTAGCAACCATGGCTGAGTTCATCTTTCTTCGTTCGGTTGGTTGATTAGTGCAATTTAGTAGATTGATAACATCAAACACCCTGAATAATATCCTAGTTGATAAGAAAAAGAAATTTTAATGTGTGTCCTTAAGTGAGGTCATTTGTTCATTTGCTTGTAGTAGTATCTAAGACAAATTAGTTTTGTTGAAGGATATTTTTTTCCTTTCATGGAATGATACAAGATTTGGTGGCTTAGAGACATAACTGCTGCACCAGTTAATTTTTTATGATCTCACTTGAAATTTCTTGTAGCACTTGTGCCTGTCTATGTTCACTTATAATTGTTTAACGGATGATGTAGGCCTTTATTGGGTTTCTTTCTTTTTTTATTCTTTGTCAGGAAATGGAGAGAACTTATTCTGTAAATGTGGACAATGTTGAATGCAATTATTTTGATCAAGTGGATAAGCTTTGTGGCTTCGGTTCGCACAATATGGAGAGTATTGCTCAGTTGGTATGGGCATTCTTCAATTATTGGGCGTATTGTCACAATTATGCCAATGATGTTATCTCTGTTCGTACAGGAAGCATATTGAGGTGAGACAGACTAGCTTTTGATTGTGCTAATTTTATTGATTGATCAGGGAGAATCTTACATCATCTTGTGCTTTATATCATGGTTTTCCGACTTCCATGTTTTTTCGGCTTATATTATGTTATTTACTTGTTGATCTGAACTGCCCCACAAAATTCGAGGCATTCAACGTATGCCTAAAGGTTTGTCCACTTAGTTCACACAATAAATGGATAGATAATGGTTAAATATTTTGTTGAAGATGTGGTAGAAAAGGCTATTTCACTTGTGGTATGCCACCTGCTAATGAAAGTCCTCATATTCATGAGAAAATAAGTTTCAACGAGGACACAATGCACGTGAACATCATAATTTATCGTAATTTACAAGATCGTGGTGTCGGCTAGAATATTTTACCAAACCATGATGAATTACCTTTTAAACTTTTGCAACACGAACTTTGCTATCATAACCACATTGAAAATGCAGTGCTTGGTTTGAGCATGCTCTTTGAACTGACTAATTGGCACCTTGTGTTTTCGGTTACAGCAAGCGAGCTAAAGACTGGACCAGGAGGATCGGTAAGGATCGCCATTTGATATGTATTGAGGATCCATTTGAGGTGTCTCATGATCTAGGACGAGTGGTGGACAAGTATAGCATAAAAGTTCTGAGGGAGGAATTTGAACGTGCTGCAGAAATTATGCAGTATGATCCTGATCCCTGTGTAGCGCTATTTCAGCCGTATGTTCCTAGTTGATTTTCCTTTTTTCTTTAAGCACAATATGTTATGTTTATAATTATTGTAATTCAAGCACTGTCGTTCTCATCATTTCTGCTTCTGCTGTTTATATTTAAGGTTTTGGAGTTCTTTTCGATCTCCTTTGTAAAGAACACAGCTTTATGGTTTGTTTCCAGTCTGATATATATATGCAAGGTTTTTGGTGTGTATTAAAAGTGTGGGCACTGCCCTTTACTAAAGAGTACCTACAAAATATTTGCTGGAGATAAATCTATGTGATTGACAGATTTATACCCCCCCCCCCCCCTCCTCTCTCTCTCTCTCGTTTGTTTTTTGGTTTCACTACTGTTTTTTTGATGTTAAGGTTATGCAGCTTGGTCTCTCAGGTTATTGAACATCAATGTGCTGTGGAAGTGGTTCAGATTTACCATGCATGATATCAACAACAAAATGACAAGCACGAGATGAACATAAAATGCTATGATTTGAATACGATAATTTACAATGATATTATATGAAAATAATTTAATTTCTCTCTCTGTCAATTTGTCTTTTGGTTTCAATACTTTTTTTTTTTTAATGTTAAGGTTTTGCAGCTTGTTCTCTCAGGTTATTGAACATAAATGCACTTAGCAAGTGATTTAGATTTACCATGCATGATATCAAGAACAAAATGACTGGAAGCACAAGATGAGCATAAAATGACATGATTTGAATACGATAATTTACAATGAAATTTTCAAAAAATAACCCAATTTCTCTCTCTCTCTCAATTTGTCTTTTGATTTTAGTACTGAGTTTTTTGATGTTCAGGTTATGCAGTTTGGTCCCACAAGTTATTGAACATAAACTTGTACATCAATGCACTGCACAAGTGGTTCAGATTTACCATGCGTGATATCAACAAAAAAAATGGCATAAGCACGAGATAAACATAAATGACATTATAATTTACAATGACATTATCTGAAATCTCTCTCTCTCTCTCAATTTGCCTTCTGGTTTTTGTATTGCGTTTTTTGATGTTTAGATTATGTAACTTGGTCTCTCAGGTTATTGAACATCAATGCACTAAGCAATTGGTTCAGATTTACCATGCATGATATCAACAACAAAATGCACAAGCACGAGATGAAAATAAAATAATACAATTTGAATACGACAATTTACAATAACGTTATTTGAAAATAACCTAATTTCTCTCTCCTCTCTCTCAATTTGTCTTCTAGTTTTAGGATTTTGTAACTTGGTCTCTCAGGTTATTGAACATCAATGGACTGGGCAAGTGGTTCAGATTTACCATGCATGGTATCAACAACAAAATATCATAAGCAGGGGATGAACATAAAATAATACGATTCGAATATGACAATTTACAATAATAAAAAAACCCGCTATCTCTGTCTCTCTCTCTTTCTCCCTCTCTGAATATATCTTCTGGTTTCAATATTTTGTAACTTGGTCTCTCGGGTTATTGAACATCAACAGACTGTGCAAGTGGTTCAGATTTATCATGCATGATATCAACAACAAAATGCCATAAGCATTGGGATGAACATAAAATGATACGATTTGAATATGACAATTTACAATGACATTATCTGAAAAAATCCAATTTCTCTCTCTCTCAATTTGTCTTTTGGTTTCAATGCTGCATTTTTTTAATGTTAAGTTTACAGATTTACCATGCATGATATCAACAACGAAATAACATAATAATGAGACAATTCGAATAAGCCAATTTACAATGACATTATCTAAACATAACCTCTCTCTCTCTCGTGGTTTTAGTACTGTCTTTTTTGATTATGCATTGAACATCAATACAATGCACACAGGTGGTCCAGCTTTACCGTACATTTTTTTTTTCGATAAGTAAGATGAAATCATTAAAACCAAAGAAAATGTACAAGGTGATACCATGGGATGACTGAGCTTCTAAACAAGGGAGAAGAAGATCAACCGTCCCAATTAGCAAAATAAAATACAAGGAATACAAATCCAAAAGGACTGAACAAAAAATGTACAAAGCAGAAGCTTATTTGATAGAGCATCTAGAAAAGAAAAGGAGGGAGCAACCAGCAAAACTAGCAAACCATCAGCAGCAATCAAAACCTCCATTCCAAGCATCAACAAGAAAGAAAGCAGCAGTGGGCACCCAAAACAAAACAAGAAACCTCTCAGGTAGACGCCACATGCCCACAGGTGGAACCAGCAAGCAAAAATGCAGCAGAGTGGTAAGAGCAAAATGCAACAGAGGGAGAGAATCCTCCACAGGTGGAACACCCAACATGTTTTACGACATGGCCTCGTAAGCTTGCCCACATAGTGATACAAATCACAAGCCATCCCCAGCAAGCAGAACAACCAACAACAACAAACAAACATCACCCACATAGCATGAAACCCGTAGCAAAACAGAGCAAAAATAGAGGATGAACCATCGCATCATTGATGCAACCAGAGCATCACACCCTCCACACATACCTCACAATCAAATGGGTTACAAGCATTCCACTGGAAAGGCCAACACCAACGAGTAACAGCCACATACGGTGAGTCAAAGAACAAAGATATTGTTAGGCAAGGCCCATTGTCTTTGCAACCATGCATTAGGATTGTTTCTTTTGATTCCGTGACAGGCATGAAGCTTGAGTCTAACATTTTCCACTATCTCCTTATAAATGGAGACCACATCTCTATAGCAGTTTTTAAAAACCCCGTGATTCCTCTCCCTCCAAATCATATAAATTGAGGTGGTGAGCATCAATTTGCAAATCAACTTTGGAAAAGCCTTTCCCTTCATATTTGCAGCATACCAATTAACCAAATCAAGCCAATCAAGTCTTGGCCATTGGACATTCACTTTGTCTTTCAATGAAATCCATATTCTCTCTCAGTGAAGGGGCATTAAAAAAAAAGGTGGTTATGAGTTTCCATTACTTCTTTGCAAAACACACAATGAGTTAAATGAATAACACCATGTGATATAAGCTTGTCTTGGTTGGAAAGCCTGTTTTGAACAGCCAGCCATTAAATAAAACTGTATCTAGGCACAACACCAAAAAACCATACAATATCAGCCCAATCTTGCATCTGGCCTTTCACTCTAATTACCTCCCAAGCAGATTTAGAGCTAAAAATCTTGGTTCTAGAAGGCAGCCACAAGACAGTCCCTTTGACTCATGACAGGTTTCATCATATTAGGAGAAATACCTCTTAGCAGCTCCATTATGTCCCCATTTGTCGTCGGCCAGTCCCAGTCACCATTATTAATTATAGAACTAACTTTAGCGTCTCTCCCAAGCCCTAATTCCCTAATAATGGACTCTCCCTAATGCTGGTAGATAGAACCTATTGGGTGCCATGGATCAAACCAGAGAAAAGTAGAGTCACCATTCCCAATCTTATAATTCACCATTGCTAAACTTCCTTTTATCAAATTTAGAATCTTTCTCCATGCCCAAGATGACTTTTGAGGAATTTTCACACTCCAGAAGCTCCTGCCTTTTAGAAGATACGAATAAATCTAATCCACCCATATTGAGTTGTCCCTTTTGCTTATGACATTCCATAGATGTTTCATAACAGCTTTGTTCCATTGTTCCATGCTTTTAAAGCTAAGTCCCTTTTCATCCTTTGGGAGACACACTTTGTCCCAAGCCACCTTGGCTCTAGACATTTTAAGATCCGTACCAGACCATAAGAATCTTTTCATAATTTGCTCCACTGCTTTGACTACTTTTTTTTGGCAATATAAATAAAGAAGACCAAAAACCTTGAATTGAAAAGAGAACTGAGCTGATCAGTTGTACTCTGCCAACATATGAAATTGATTTGTTGCACCAAGAATTTACCTTGGTAGTAATCTTCTCAACTAGTAGCTAATAATCCCCAGCCCTCAATTTAGTGGTAATGAGAGGAACACCCAGATATCTCACAGGCAATTCACCTTCTAGAAACCCCATTAACTGCATGATCTCCACTTTATCCACATTATTACTGATAGAGTAGTAAAAATGACACTTGCTTGGGTTAGCTTTAAGCCCAAAAAGTTCTTCAAAAATCTAGAGGGCATCCTTGATAGTCCTAATTGAATCAAGATTTCCTTTACTGAAGATCATAACATTGACAGCAAAGCAAAGGTGAGAAATATCCTCCTTGCCACATCTCCAATGATACTTGAATTTGCCCAGCAGCTGCCTCCTTCATAATGCCATTAAAGACCTCCATTGCAAGCACAAAAAGATAAGGAGACAAGGGATCTCCCTGTCTTAGACCTTTTTTTTCCATCAAAATAACCTTTCAACTCACCATTAAGACTCACTGAGTACATAGGAGAAGTAATACACGTCTGAACCCATCTAATCAACTGTTGGGAAAAACCCTGGCTTGCATCACTTCTAGAATAAACTCCCACCTTATATTATCATAAGCCTTCATAAGGTCAATTTTCAATGTACATCTAGGACTCCCTCTATCCAGATGATAGTTCCTTAAGTGTTCTTGGGATAACAGGATGTTATCAGACATTCTTCTACCTTGTATGAACGTAGTTTGAGATTTGTCAATTAGCTTAGGCCTCTTTTGATTCTGATGGCCAAAATCTTTGAAACATGAAATTGGCTAGTAATCATTAAGCATAGAAGGATTAGGTACCTTGGGAATCAAAGCAATAGTGGTAGAATTAACTTCCCTCAACAACTTCCCAGAAACAAAGAACGACATGATGGCATCAGTCACTTCATCATTCACAATATGCCATGTTTTCTTGAAGAATCCAACGGAATAGCCATCTGGACCTGGGGCCTTCTCATCCTTCATTGAGAATAATGCATACTTGATTTCATATCTGGTGACATCAAGGGACAAATGAGCTGCAAGATTTGAAGAGATTCTCCTTCTGATGTAGTGATTAACCCAATACACAGGTATTGCAGAACTAGGAAGAGACCCACCAAGCAGTTGGTGGTAATAGCTAACAACCTCCTCCTGAATTTCATGATACTCAGTGACCTTGGTCCCATCTTCTTTCTGAATGGTAGTGATCCTCCTCTGTATTCTTTGCTTATTATTATGCTTGAAGAAGAAACTTGTGTTTTGATCCCCTAAGTTCAGCCACTATACTCTGGATTTTTGTCTGAAAAAACTTTCCTCAGCTTCCTTGAGTTCAACATACTTTCTCAACTTCTCTCTTTCTTCGTCCCATAGCTGCGTGTTTAAAGGACTTCTATTTGCTTTCATTTGAATATCTTGGAGGGCCTACCTTGCAACTATAACTCTAGATGATATATCACTGTAATTCCTCTTATTCAAATCCTTTAAATCTTTCTTGAGAAGCTTCAAATTTTGATAGATTCTGAACATAGGAGATCCTCTTATTTGAGTGGCCCAAACTCTAGTGACAGTTGGTAAGAAATCTTGACGATTAGCCCAAAAATCGAAGAATTTGAATGGCTTTCTACACTTAGGGAGTTCTATCCCCATTCTGACCAAGGCTAGTGAATGGTCGAAAATTCTTGGTGTAAGAAAATCAGCTTCTGAATTTGGGTAGGCTCTTCCCCAAACCTCATTAACCAACACTCTGTCCAGTTTCTTAGCAATTAAACCACCATCAAATCTTTTGTTACGCCATGTGTACTGGTTTCTTGAATATTTTAAGTCTTCAAGATCAGTCCTGAATTGGCATTCACAAAAATCCTCACTCCCTTTGTCTCTCACACTAACCTCTCTTACCTTATCGGAGTTGGATTTGACCACATTAAAGTCTCCCAAAACAATCCATGCTTGCCCCTGTACAGCTGTAGCCCTTTGTTTAAGATTATACCATAGTTGCTTTCTAGGTCCCTCCTCATTTTGGGCATAAACAAAAGATGCAGAAAAAATCTTCTGGTTGGTCAAGTTAATAATAGTGCAATGTACAACCTGGTCAGTAAGCCCGTCCAATCTTACATAAAAAAAAATGGGGTCCCAACATACCTGTACTCTCCCTCTAGTTGAGTGATCATAATTATCAATGAGTCTCCAATTCGGCAACATTCTTCTAAAAATAACATCACAATTAATCTTTCTAACTTTAGTTTTGACAAGGCAGCACAAACCAACACCATATTGGTTCACTTGTTTCCGTACTTCCTCTTGCTTTACAGGATCATTCAGCCCCCTCACATTCCAGCAAAAGAAACTAGTCATTAGAAATTTTAAGTGACAGTGACGACCTCAACCCCTTGCATGGAGCCACCAATCTTGAGTTCAAAGATTGCTTACTCTTTCCTCTGATTTTCCTCTGTTTCTTTCTAGTTGATGTAGAAAGTAGCTTTTCCACCTCGTCAATGGCCTTGATTTTATCCATCATGGATCCAGGTTTAGGCAACTCAAAATCACTAGCGCCCTTTTCTGCCTCCTCCATCTCTGTAGCTGGTACTAAATCCAGAGCCGGGAACTTGTTGGAAGGTTCTACAACCCTCCTCACCGAGCACTCTATTTCAGATGACAAGTTTACCCTCAGTCTTAAAGGTTGCTCTTCTATCACTTTCTCCTTCCCTTTGCACTTCACTATTTGTCACTGTTCACTCAGTCCATCTAAAATAAGATGAAGATTTTGTGTTAGACTTTGTACCCCTTTGTATCCAACATCCTAATTTCCGATTAGTTCACCTTGAACATAGTCCCTAACCTCAACCTGGCTATACGCTTTAGAATTAGCAGAACCGTTTCCCTTCTCAATACTTTGCTGCTTCTCAATGGGAGCAGCTATTGTATGGCAGCTATGCCCAAAAACTTTGCATTGATCACATCGAATTGGTTTCCATTGGTAAATTACCTTAATTTCAATTTTCTCACTATCCCCTTCATTGTCACCCTCCATCATTAGATCAAAGGCATCCAGTAAAGGCTCACTTGCATCAACCTCTACACAAATCNCCCTTCATTGTCACCCTCCATCATTAGATCAAAGGCATCCAGTAAAGGCTCACTTGCATCAACCTCTACACAAATCCTTACAAAAGTAGATCTACTACCCTCCTCCGTCAACTTATCCATAAACAAAGGTTTCCCAACTGCACTAGCTATGTAACTAAACCCAATGGCAGTCCAATATTCAGTGGGTATATTATAAAATTTTATCCAAATTGGGATCTTCCTCATAGCCTCCTTTGTAAGCTTGAGTCTTGGCTGCCACTTCCTTAATATAATAGGCTGGCCACCAATATGCCAAGGACGAACCCCCTTCCAAGACCTCGTTTCTGTTACTTGTACTTGAGAACTTAAAGAAGAAGAATCCATTCTCATTGGCAATAACATCAAATAACCCCTTGTTTCCCCACATCCTCATAGCTGATGCTTTCACAACTTGAAAAGGCANTTGAGAACTTAAAGAAGAAGAATCCATTCTCATTGGCAATAACATCAAATAACCCCTTGTTTCCCCACATCCTCATAGCTGATGCTTTCACAACTTGAAAAGGCAGTTTCTTGCCAATAAAGTACCCCACCATACAAGCTTCCCATTTGGAATATCCCTCCTGGGCTACCTCTTTGGGAGGTCTAACCATAACTCTTCCCATTTGTTTACTAANCAGTTTCTTGCCAATAAAGTACCCCACCATACAAGCTTCCCATTTGGAATATCCCTCTTGGGCTACCTCTTTGGGAGGTCTAACCATAACTCTTCCCATTTGTTTACTAAGGGTAATGTACTGCATTTCTACTAGGGATCTCGGATCATTTTGAACCATATTAACTCGATATCTATTCTTACTCAGACCATTTGACCCACCACCAACATCAGGCTTGGGATTGCCCAAATGATCAGAAGAGGTTAAAGACTGCATACCTACTCCTTGTGAATTCATCCTCGGCACATCCCTTGTAACTGATGTCTTTCTCCATCTGAGCCTGGCTTGTCCATTGTCTCCATTTCCAATGGCACCGGAAATACCTCTGCCATCACTATAGCCACTAAGCCTAATTTGAGACTTATTTTGACCTGGGTATTCCATTTTGGCTTCNTCCTTGTGAATTCATCCTCGGCACATCCCTTGTAACTGATGTCTTTCTCCATCTGAGTCTGGCTTGTCCATTGTCTCCATTTCCAATGGCACCGGAAATACCTCTGCCATCACTATCGCCACTAAGCCTAATTTGAGACTTATTTTGACCTGGGTATTCCATTTTGGCTTCAAAAAAATGCTTGAGAAGGTCATTCTCAATAATTAGTTTCTGCAACCTGCTTTGCTCTGTCATTGACTCAGTAACTTCTTCTCTATCGAACCTGGTTTGATCAGCGAGGACCTTACCAGCTCGTGCTTGTGTTTGAGCAGATACATCCTCAACAATCATAGCTAGATTTATACCCTCTGCCGAAGTACTCCCACCAAGGCATGCATCAGGCCTGCCATCAATGCTATTCACCAGTGATTCACCGACCTTTGACCCACAATTGATTGGTAAAGGCCTTAAATTCCTGTCGGTTTCCATAGATTATAGGATGGGGGATGCAAAAAATGCCAAGAAAAGGGTCAGAGATGGGAAATAAAGGTGTAATTTGGGGTTGTGACAAAAAGGAGAGAATGACTTTTGGGGGAAAAAGGGGCAGAGAAAACAGAGAAAGTGGCACTGGCTATGGTAAAGAGAGGATGATATGGTGTGCAGTGATGAAGAGGCCGGCTAAAGGAGTAGAAGAGGGGATTAGGGCGGCTAGGGGCGTCGACGACTTTAGGGGGTTTACATCTTGCAGGTTCGTCAGACCCAGCTTTTGGTTGCTACATTGGCAAGTTGCTGTTACCGTACATGTTATTAACAACAAAAAGACATAAACGCAAAATGATACCATTCGAATGACAATATATATACATGACACAAAAACACAAATCGATTGAGAAACCGTACTTATGACACCTAGCAAAGGTTGTCCAACATCAAACAATTTAGTCTGAGTAATTATCCTCACTCAGCCTCTCATCCCCCATTTAATAGGAAGAAGAATTCAATGTTTCGAAAAACTAATCTTTCTTAGCCTCTTATCTCTCACAGATAATTGCATATCATAGAAGTCGATCTGTCTGTTTGTTTGCCATAGAAGTTCATCACGCAACGTTAACAGAAAGTTCAATCCCTCTTCTTACATTTTGACACCTTATTGTCCATAGAAAAGATTTAAAGTTCCACATGCAACATATATAGTTCCAAGTTTAATTGTTCTTCTATATAATTTTCTTGACTTCTCATCATCCATAGAAAACAGTATGTGAATCTCAAGGGATAGTTCAAAAAATAACAAGGACGAGCTGTAAATTCAGGCGTCAAGAATTTGAATCTTGACAACTTAGGCCGTGAGAGATTTATCTCTCATGAGTACTTTAATCTTAGATAACTTGTCTTTAATCTCTCATACAAACATTGATGCTATTTTTGATAGTAGATTTTAGTTAGTTTTAATTTTTAGAGACAAATAAATAGAATGATTGTCACACATGTTATGTTATTAAAGTTAAATGTTTTTCCAAAATTATAGTAGATAGTTGATCTTGCTCATAACTCAATAACACACAAACT